TGAGGATGATATTAGCTGTGGGTTTCTCATATATGGTCTTTATTATGTTGAGGTACTTTCCTTCTATACCCATTTTATTCAGAGTTTTTATCATAAATGATAAAATTTTTCTGCTGTCCATTCACGCAAACTCCACCAAGGACTTTCAGGACATAAAATTCAGGCTGATCTGATAAAGTGAAAACACCTTCCTACAGTTTCTATCAATGTTATGTTGCTGGCTCCTCATCAGAACATTTTCTACTTCTCAGCCCCAAGGCCTGGCTAGAACACGGAGTATGGAAATTTCATACAATGCCGGATGGAGAAGCAGCCTATTCCCACGTAAGTACTCAATTCATCTTTGTTTCTTCCCATAGAGCATACCCTCTTTTCCTAAATTCATCTACGAAAGGCTGAAGAGCCCCATTTTCATTCTTCTCAAACAGAGATTCTCAAAATGTAGTCTGCAGGTCCAAGAGGGGGTGGGGGTCCCAAGACCCTTTCAGGTGCTCTGAAGACAATACTAAGATATAATTTGTCTTCTTTGCTGTGTTGACATTTGCACTGATGATGCAAAAGCACTGGTGGGTAAAACTGCTGGTGTCTTAGCACCAATCAAGGCCCTGCTGCCAAAGAGCACTGGTCGTCACTGTGTTCTTTTTTTGTTTTGTTTTTCAGGAAGATTGGCTCGGAGCTAACATCTGTTGCCAATCTTCCTTTTTTTTTTTCTTCCCTTTTTCTCCCCAAAGCCCCAGTAGATAGTTGTATGGCATAGTTGTACATCCTTCTGGTTGCTCTATGTGGGAGGCCGCCTCAGCATGGCTTGGGGAGCGGTGCATAGGTCCGCACCCAGGATCCGAACTGATGAACCCAAGGCCACCGAAGTGGAGTGTGCGAACCTAACCGCTACCCCACCGGGCCAGGCCCTCGCCACTGTATTCTTCACTGCCACACGCTCACAGAAAAAGAAATTGTTTCACTTTAGTCCTTAATGAAGGACTAAAAGTTATTAATTTTATTAATCTTGACCATTCCATATTAATATTTAATATTAATTTTTATATTCTGTGTGATGGAGTGGGAAGTAAGCTCTGAAGTGTTTGTCTCAAGGAAGAGCACTTACAAGACTGAGTTGAGAGCTGAACTGGCTGCTTTTTTCATGGAATTGAAAGAATGAGTAAGACAAACTATGGGTGTTCCGACTTTGGTATCTAGTAAACACTTATTCTTAAAAAAAATGAATTGAAGTGAGCCTATCATTTTAAGGAAAACGACTGACAATTTGTTGCTAATGATTAAAAATTGAACTTTCAAGCAAAAATTAGAATTTTGGAAAACTAGTCTCTGCCTCTTTAGCTAGACAGCTTCCCAATGTTTAGAGACTTTTCTGATGACACAGGGGTGATATTAAGGGATATGATTTTTATATTATATAAGGAAATATGTTAATATTTTGACAATCTGTATAACCTAGTGAACCAATATTTTCCAAATGACCAACATACAGTAATGAGCTACATAAAAACGTTTTGGTCAACGATGGACTACATATACAACGGTGGTCCCGTAAGATTAGTATCATACAGCCTAGCCATGTACTATGCTATACCATCTAGGTTTGTGTAAATACACTCTATAATGTTTGCATAAGGACGAAATTGCCTAACAACGCATTTCTCAGAATGACCCCCTACGTTAGGTGATGCATGACTGTATTATGTTATAAAATCATACATGTTTTAAGATCCTTTCAAAGTACAAGACAGACCAATGGATTTTAATTTAGCAGTGAGTGAAAAGTTCACTGATTCTGTTTTCAGATTCCTTATTGCAATTAACCTTTATGAGACCACCTCTTATCAATTTTTTGGTGTACCATCAAAAAACAATATTCTCAACTATCTGAAACGTCTATTAAATATTCTTCCCTTTCTCAAATACGTATCTGTGTGAGGCTGGATTTTCTTCATGTACTTTTTTTTTTTTTTTTTTTTTTGTGAGGAGATCAGCCCTGTGCTAACATCTGCCAATCCTCCTCTTTTTCTGCTGAGGAAGACTGGCCCTGGGCTAACATCTGTGGCCATCTTCCTCCACTTTATATGGGACGCTGCCACAGCATGGCTTGCCAAGCAGTGCGTCAGCGCGTGCCCAGGATCCGAACTGGCGAACCCCGGGCTGCGCAGCAGAGCGCACGCACTTAACTGCTTGTGCCACCGGGCCGGCCCCTCTTCATGTACTTTCAACCAAACCCCAACATACCACAACAGACTGAACAGAAGAAGCCACTATAAGAACGCAGCTGTCTTCTCTTTTCAAAAATGTGAGAGTGCTATTGTATTTTTTTGTTTTGGACAATAGTTATTTTTCACAGAAATGTTATTTTATGTCAATATGTAATGAGCTTATTACCACAATAAACATTAAAAACCTTTTCAGTTTTAATTTTTAATATAGCAAATATCAATAGATACAAGAACATAATCAAAAGCTCCTTGAGAGCCTCAGTAATTTTTAAGAGCGTAGAGTCCTGAGACCAGAAAGTTGGAGAATCACTGCTCTAAATCCAAGGTTGCAAACTGGTGGGACATGAGCCAACTTTGGCCCAAAGACATATTTTTGAAACATTTTCATCAGCTGCATACATTTAGAAATCGGGAAAACTCACATAAAAATCTTCAGAGAGGGGCCAGCCCCGTGGCTTAGCAGTTAAGTGCGCATGCTCTGCTACTGGTGGCCCGGGGTTCAGATCCCGGGCGTGCACCGACACACCGCTTGTCTGGCCATGCTGAGGCGGCGTCCCACATACACCAACTAGAAGGATGTGCAACTATGACATACAACTATCTGCTGGGGCTTTGGGGAGAAAAAGGGAAAAAAAAAGGAGGAGGATTGGCAATAGATGTTAGCTTAGGGCTGGTCTTCCTCAGCAAAAAGAGGAGGATTGGCATGGATGTTAGCTCAGGGCTGATCTCCTCACAAAAACAAAAAAAAAAAAGAAAAACATCTTCAGAGAAATCAGGACATCTGGCAAGACCAGGCCCATATTCCCATATGGCACAAACCGGCTGGTACAGAAGAGCTGCCGCTCCCTGGAGCAGGCAGAGGGTCTCCGGTTCACTGCAGGGCCATGCTCGTTACCCGCCCAGCCTGCATGCACTTCTGGGCATGTGACCCCTGCTGTAACATCTCGTCTCCCACACAGGAGTGACCTTTTTGGTGAACCAGTCATGTGCTCAGCACAGCATTTATTTGTAATTCTCATTCCTTACTAAATTCCCTGCAGGCTTGGCAACTCCCAACCACCAATTAGAAACTGGAGTAATTGCCAGAGTCCTGGTTTCTTTGATCAGTGACACATTAAATATGGCTCCCTTCCCAGTCTATTCTGTGAAAACTACGTAAGCTCTCCATGTTGTCTCTGGGAGAAAACTCGGCCACGCCCATTCAAAGATGAATGGTGCAGGCCAAAAAGAATCTTAAACCCTACTCCCCTTAGAGTGGTCGGCTCAGCCTCAAAATGCGTTAGGTGATAAATCAGGCTGGCTTTCAACACCAGCCAGATCTGTAATCCTCTTACAGCTTTTCAAAGATGTCTCTGCTAAGAACTCCAGTGCATCTGTGAAAACTTTAGAACTCTGTCGCAGGGAGACTCATGTCTAAGAGATTCCTCTAGGGAGTCCCTAAGATATTTTTGGATCACTCTTGGACTGAGAACAAACTCTTTAGTAGCAAAGCCACGGGCTTTAAGTAGGATAATTTGCAACGATGGGCTGATGAGTAACCCATGGCTGTTACGGTTTCCCAATGCACTTACTGGTATGCCATGACCCTGAAAGCGTGGTATGTCCTCTTCAGGAAGAGGGGTGGGGACAACAAAGTATGCTGGCAACCTAGAAGAAAGAGATGTCATCAGTTTCAGAACTAGAGTTAATTCATTAAATCTGAAAGCTTGACTTCAATGAGTGCAGGAAGCCATGCAGAGTGGTATGACATGGACCACACTTCCCTGTTAGGCAGAACCAGTGCAGATGAACTGTCTCTGGCCAAATCAGTCGGGGATCAGAGTTCAAATCCCAGCTCTGCCTCTGATTATGTATAACCCTAGGTAAGTTATCCCACCTCTCTGGGTCTGTTTCCTCACCCATAAAATGAGAGGACTGGAATATGTGATATCTAAAAATACATGAATTCCAAAATTGGGAGTGATTTTTCTCATTATATAGTGGCAATATAAGCCCCTGTGTTGCTTTCAGTCAGACTAACATGAAAACCAATAATTATGATGACTGCCACCCAGACATTTTATCAAGTGCTCTGACAGTAACATATGAGTGCTTACTACGTGGCAAACTCTTGCTCTAACTGCTTAACATGAATTATTCATTTAATCCTCCCACCAACCCTATGAGGTATGTATTATTATTATTTCCATTTTACAGATAAGGAAATGAGACACAGAGCTACTAAGGCATTCTCCAGGTTATACAACTAGTCAGCGTGAGTGGAGCTGAATGCAAGCAGTATGACTTCAATGTCTACATGAGAAAATTTAGGTTCTAAAAACAACAAACCTGCTAAGTAGTAGGACGTGGGAAAGTTAGGGTTTCAGAGTTGCAGAGATCAGAGATATAGGGGACACCATCTCTTCCTCTAATTAGCAGATGCAGGTTTTATTAATAAGGCCACCTTAGTCCTATCACCGTGGAGCTGTAAACCTCCTTCTCTCAAAAAGCTTGAAATAAAGCCTCACGAGAAATAAGAAGGAGCCTATGGTATAAGAACTACAATGGAAAATAAGCAGATGGTGTTTGTATGCATGCCACATGTTTGAAGTAAATCCCTTAAGTATTAGGTCACGGGAAAGATGGATTTTCTGAGTTGAAGAGATCAGAATTTGACTGTGATCAAGCCATTAGATCTAATCAACTCATGGGGGAATGCAGCAACATTTTAAACCTTATCATGAAGATGTGATCATCAAAATCCAGACTGTGGCAACTATAAACAAATGGCCTGGTTTCTTCAAATAAATTGCAAGAAAAAGATGATAGTGTGAGAATCTATAGATTAAGAGACTTAAGAAACCTATCAATCAATTGCAAGATATTCATCTTATTGAATATTCATTAATGATAAAAGACAAAAAGATGAAAGATAAATTGTTTAAAAAATTTATAAAACAATGGGGAAAATTTGAACACTGACTGGGTACTGAATGACATTAGTGCAATCGATCACAACTCCTAGCGACCCTGTGTACAGTAGAGTGAAACCCTGCCCAGTCTTTCTGCGCCATCTTCTCACCTTCTGGTGCTATATCAGACAATGCTTCACTGCTATTCATGGCCAATTTTTTTGGAAGTGGGTGGCCAGGTCCTTCTTCCTAGTCTGGAAGCTCTGCTGAAACCTGTCACCATGGGTGACCCTGCTGGTATTTGAAATACCAGTGGCACAGCTTTTAGCATCACAGCAGCTGCCATAGTATGACAACTGACAGATGGGTGGTGGTGGTCCCTGACCAGGAAACGAATCCAGGCCGCAGTGGTGAGAGCGCCGAATTTTTAACCACTAGACCACCACACTGCATGATATTTAAGGGGTTAATGTTAAATTTGAAAGGTGTGATAATGGTTTTATGGTTATGTTTATAAAGAGAGTCCTTAATTCTTAGAGATATATACTGAAATATTTATGAATGAAATGTGATGAGCTCTGGGATTTATTTCAAAATAATCCAGGGTAGGGGGGCATAGATGGAGGCATAGAGAAAACAGGATTAGCTATGAGTTAACAACTGTTGAAGCTGGGTGATGAGTAGTAAAAGGAAATCCATATTCTCTTCTTTTACATTGCTTGAAATTTTCCATTAAAAAAACCTTCAAAGTAATTACCTAAAGCAATCTATAGATTCAGTGCAATCCCAATCAGAATCCCAACGACATTCTTCATGGAAAAAGAACAAAGAATCCTAAAATTCAAATGAGGCAACAAAAGACCCTGAATAGCTTAAAGAAATCCTGGGAAAAAAGAACAAAGCTGGAAGCATCACAATCCCTGACTTCCAAATATACTACAAAGCTATAGCAATCAAAACAGCATGGTAAGAACAGACACACAGATCAATGGAACAGAACTGAAAGCTCAGAAATAAAACCACATATCTATGGACAGCTAATCTTCGACAAAGGAGCTAAGAACATACAATGGAGAAAGGAAAGTCGCTTCAATAAACGGTGTTGGGAAAACTGGACAGCCACATGCAAAAGGATGAAAGTAGACCATTCTCTTTCAACCATACACAAAAACTAACTTAAAATGGATCAAAGATTTGAAAGACCTGAAACCATAAAAATCCTAGAAGAAAATATAGGCAGTACACTCTTTGACATCAGTCTTAGAAGGATCTTTTCTTTCTTCTTCTTCTTTTTTTGAGGAAGATTGGTCCTGCACTATCAGCTGTTGCCAGTCTTCCTCTTTTTTTCTTTTTTCTCCCCAAAGCCCCAGTGCATCATAGCTGGAGAGCTGTAGCTCTTCTATATGGGACGCCACCTCAGCATGGCTTGATCAGCGGTTCAGTGGTCTGCACCCGGGATGCGAACCAATGAACCCCGGGCCACCAAGGCAGAGCACACAAACTTAACCGCTACACCACCAGGCCAGACCCAGAAGGATCTTTTCGAATACCATGTCTACTCAGAAAAGAAAAAACAAACAAGCGGGACTTCTTCAGACTAAAGAGCTTCTGCAAGGCAAAGGAAACCAGGAATAAAACAAAAAGACAATCCAACAACTGGGAGAAAATACTTGCAAATCATTTATCTGACAAGGGGTTAATCTCCAAAATATATAAAAAACTCACACAACTGAACAACAAAAAAACAAACAACCTGATCAAAAAATGGGCAGAGGATATGAACAGACATTTTTCCAAAGAAGATATACAGATGGCCAACAGGCACATGAAAAGATGTTCAATGTCACTAATCATTAGGGAAATGCAAATCAAAACTACACTGAGATATCACCTTAAACCCATTAGAATGGCTATAATCACCAAGAAAAAAAATAACAAATGTTGGAGAAGATGTGGAAAAAAGGGAACTCATATACACTGCTCATGGGAACGCAAACTGGTGCAGCCACTATGGACAACAGTATGGAGATTTCTCAAAAAATTAAAAATCAAAATACCATACAATTCAGCTATCCCACTACTGGGTATTCATCCAAAGAACTAGAAATCAACAATTCAGAGAGACTTATGCACCCTTATGTTCATTGCACATTATTCACGACAGCCAAGATGTAGAAGCAACCCAGGTGCCCCTCGACTGATGGTTGGATAAAGAAGAGGTGGTGTATATACACAATGGAATACTCAGCCATGAAAAAAAAGACAAAATCGTCCCATTTGCAACAACATGGATAGACCTTGAAGGTATTATGTTAAGTGAAATGCCAGACAGAGAAAGACAAACACCATACAATTTCACTCATAGTGAAAGATAAACTAACACAAGGACAGAGAACAGATTAGTGGTTACCAGAGGCAAAAGGGGTTGGGGGGCACATAAAGGGTAAAGGGGTACATTTATACGGTGACTGACAAATGATACTGTATAATTGAAATTTCACAATGTTACAAACTATGATGACCTCAACAAAAAAAAAAAGGAAAAAAAAAAAAACACCTTAAAAGTAATTAAAAAGAAAAAAGCCCTCATGATATTGTGATGTAAAATCAGGTTTAGGAGCACTGGTCAAGGCTAAGATACCTCAAACCATCAAAACTTAGAAGAATTATTTAGCTTTTGAGGTTTTGCAGTGCTAGGAACATTTTCTTACATGTCTGCTTGAGTGGGTAGGTGGAGAGGTATCCCTTCTTCAGGTGTGGTCACTGAAGTAAAAACCTCTTCACAGATCCATGGCTCTCAAACTCAGGCTGCCCATTAAAATCACGTGGGAAGATTAACAATTTATTTAATGAGAGGCTTTGACAATTCAGCCCCCAGTTGTCCTAGAAACTTTACATAAAGTCCCAGTGTCTCCAAGAAATTCATCTGAGGCTTCCCAGTGATATGGGTTCTGAATTCCCTGCCTGGATCTTCTCCCTATACTTCCTGGGGAAAAGTCATTATAGTAGACTCCAGGCTCCACCCCAGAACTATTTAATATCAGAAGCTTAAAAGCTTCTCAGGTGTGCAATCAGGATGAAAGCTGTGCTTCTAGAGGAGCCTGCTACTCAAAGTACGCAGCAGCATCTCCTGGATGCTTATAAGGAGAGCAGATTCTCAAGCCCGACCCCAGACCTCAGAAACAGAATCTGCGCTTTAACAAACCCCCCAGGTGACTTGGCTGCACAGTCAACTATGAGAAGCACTGTTCTAGAAGGCACCTTACAAACAGACAGTGGTCTGTTTCTCAGCCTTTACAGGAGAGTCACCTGTGGGGTTTGTTTAAAACCAGATTCTCAGCTCCCTCCCCAGAGGCTCATTCTACAAAGCTGGGATGGGGCCATATTGGTTTAAAAAATTTGCATGTCTCCCCCTATTAGTGAGGTTGAATATTTTACAATGTTGGCTAACCAATTAATTTTCTCTTATAGTCTTTTACTGAGGGGGAAAAAATGTCAGAACCAAGTATATTAGCATATGCAGCATGTGGTCACTGAGGAAAGGAGGTTGCACAGAGATGGACAGCTCTGCATCAGTGAGGGGAGTTTGAGATGTCCTCTCCTGTCTCAATGAACTTGAGGTGGTTCTATGGAGCCTCTGCCATGAGACTCCGGTGTCTACAAGGCAACTAACCCTCCCCACTCCTTGGAGAGCAGTCATTTTAGTCATTAGGATGCGTTTCAAATCTGAAGAGCCTCTCCAAATATGGGACGACT